TACATCCCTAGAAGTCAGACCAACAGCAGCATCTTGAAGAAATCAGAATGTGTTGGATAAGTGACTGCTCTTTTCATCTGGCATGTCAGGGGACACTCCAAAGTAGACAGCTGGCAAACTGCAGGAAGAGAGGACTAACTGCATCTCTGGAAGACAGTACTCCAGAATTAGGACTAACTGCATTTGTTGAACAGAGAATTGAGCATTGCTCCCCAATCTTCTAATTGAACTCAATTTCTTTGCAAAGAAAAGTAAATTGCCCTTGCAGGTCAGGTATTCCACCACTGCAGAAACAGGATAAAGATGTTTGGACTGTGGTAACCAAGGCCTTGCTGAACAGTGCAGAACACATACCCACTAGCAGCTATCACTGCAAGGTACACTGAAGTTACTTGCCACCTCAAGGCTTGGAAAACAGCCAGTTTGTCAGTCCTAATACAAACTCTGGCCTCTTTCTGACTGAACATGAAGACCAGTGCTGGATGGGCACCATTTATCCCTGCAACCTCTGTTACTGTGAAAGGAAACAGAGGCATGTGATCAGAGTAACCACAGTGCGCTCCAGCAGGTCTCCCTGCTCTGGACAACTGAGTAACTTTCAAGATCACACATGTAACTAGTTCCTCAAAAGGAGATGTAGTGTTTTTGATTGTGATCCCAGATGAATCAGACCCCTCTTAGAACAGATCTGAGAGAAAAAAAATGTGAGTTAAGACTGAAAAAAAAAATAAAAAATAATCTTTCAATTGCTGCTATGCTCTGATCTTCTTGGAACCCTAGTGGTTGTAAAATGTTACAAGAGTTTCAAGAAGCCTCAGATTTCTGTTAATGTCTATGAACATCTGAAGGGCCATCAGAAGCCAAAGGGTGTCTGCCAAAAATCACAGAACTCTGGCTGCACCATTTTTTCCCAATTTATGTCCTCCATGTGCCCTTTTTTCTAATTGAGAATTCCCTCATCCCAGTGAGGTCTTCAGATGCTCATTTAATACTGCTTTAGAACCTTTGTATATTGAAGGAATAGAAGAAAGAAGCTTTCATGTAAGTTGGGAAATGATCACTTACTTTTCAGTAGCTTCAATTGTATTTATTACAGACTCTGACCGAGTTCTAATAATGTCAGTGCAACTTCCTATTCTGGCCTTTATGAGTTGCAATATTAAAACAAAGTATCTCTGGCATGCTAATTATCCTGCTGTAAAATCCTCATGGAAATAAAACTGTCATTTTACTGTGAAGTAAAACAGCAAAGAGAGCAACATACAGAAATATTTTTAGTTTTTCAGTAAAAGTTTGTCATTCCTTATTTCCACCAGTCCAGGAGAGTAGTATGAACAAAGTCAACTTCCAATGAAAACAAAGACTGCATTCTAGGTTTCTCTACCTGCTTACTTTTGAAGCTGCTTCTGGGCAATGAAATCTCACACAATACTGTACAACTGCAGCCTCCTTCAGTGACACTCCTCAATAAGGTTTCCAGTTCTTTGAAGCCACCTGGCTCCATTCTTATGCTGCACTACCTTCTTCTTTTTTCCTGAATCTGCATGGTTTTTGGATAGTAGAGCTGTTTTCTTTTTTCTTTCATTTTATTTTATTTTATTTTATTTTATTTTATTTTGTTTTGTTTTATTTTATTTTATTTTCAGAAAGAGCTTATTGAGGTACTGAGCTATTGTCAGTTCAACAAATAATTTTATTAACTGTTTGTTTGTTTGTTTTAATTTGGAGATATCTCTATTCCAGTTTGCCAAAAGAATTGACTAATTAGTGATTTTACTTTAAAATTGTATCGTTATCTACAAAATCCTAGTCCATAGTAATACACTGTGGTGAGTCAAATAGTTATGTGAAAACTGCATCCCTCAAATTAATCTTTAGAACCAGATCACATGAAGGAAAAAACACAGCTGCATCCTGTGCTCTTACAGTGTGCACTGAAATAAAACTGGCTTCATAGTGATGTAGGTGCCCCCATGGATCTAAGCCTTGATTGAGTCATTCTCTTACTTACTGATTAGTACTACTGCAGAAGTTTTCCCTGACATTTATATAAAGCACGAAGGACTTATGGTGCTTTATAAATAAATAAATAAATAAATAAAGTAACTTTGGAGACTGTCAGGCATAAGAACAAGTCTTAATTAGAAATTCAAATGAAACTTTGCTCCACGATATGAAAGTGGGCAAATGCTGCAGACAGTCTCTGTGTCAGCAAAGGCCCCCATGCAATCACAGTCTTTAACAGATGAGGTGGGATTAGTGTGTTATCCGCCTAATATCTACATACTGTTGTTTGCCCTCACAATTTAGATGGTTTCATAGGAGAATCTTTTTGAATTTTCCAGACTGTCATGGAGCATTTTTTAACTCTGCAACATCAGCTGCTGAAGCTAGATCTGATTTTGCATACTCCTTGATTCTGGCTGCTCCAACAAAAAGACAAGCTACTGACGCACCAAGTGAGCTCATTCATAGTGGTAAGCTCACTCTCATGAGCTCCAGCTTATTCTCATGGTTGGAGTTATATAAAGCACAGCAGATATTCCACAAAATTTTAGAATAAACAGCATTTAGCAGCCATTTCTCACCTGCAGAAGACAGTGAGACTCCAACATTCACAGTAGACTGGAAAGACTTCATTTATGCTTCATTTGTTGCTATTTCCATATACATAGAACAGCACTCCTGGTGAAGGACAATCCTGTTCAGTGGGTGGAACCAAATCCTATGAAGAGCTGGGATGACCAGCACTATTTCCATAGCTTCCCTGTGAAGAAACAGGTTTTCACAGAACTGTGAGAGGAGCCTGTGTTCACCCTCAGGCATTTAGAACTGCAAATGAGGTAAACCATAAAAGACTGAATGTGGTTTGCAGTTGTGCTTTGGAAACCTACCACACAATGCTCTAACAGTCCATGGCTAACCTGTGCTTACTTGGTAAGTCAACAGTCACTTCTGTACTGGAAATTGACTAATAAAAACATGTTTTCTTATGGGTTTCTGACATAAGTAATTAATGTGTTTAAACTATTAAACTCTGAGTTTCAGAGAAAAAGAATTTCCAAACTGTACTGAGGCCAAGGACAACAGTAATATGCATGTAAATTGTCTATGTGAAGGAAGAGATGAAAAGGGCATTAATCCATTATAGGTGAGCTTGGCAGAATGCAAAGGCAAGTTCAAGGACTCAGATAAGGGATAGACAGAAAAGATGGAGGATGCCTGGGTGGTAAAGAAACCTATTAGAGTACCAAGTCTTACCCTCTCTGCATTGACAGGGTTATGCAGGGCATCCATTTAAGCTTTTCTGTGATGACTAATGGTGGACTGTGACAGAGCTCAAAGCAGAGAAAGACCAGAAGTGTTTCCCATAAGGTAGGTAGCTGCTATGACAGACTGCTCTTTCACACTTTCCAGTGCTTCACCCCAGGAGACTAAACCTGTCATCTGTTCAAAGGAGGAAATATGCTGCAACATTTTAATTTCCTGGCCCTATTTACTAAATGTGTATACAGTGAAAGCAGTAAGGGTTAATCACTTCTAGGTAATATAGAAAATATCCTTTCAGCAAGTGTATTTTTTTTTAAACAGGCTTCCTCCCTTCCTCCTACTTATCTAGTGCTTGAATCACTGCCATTTAGAGGCAGAAGGACATATAAAACTGTCTGATAAGAAGGTAACACAGGAACTGAAAGGTAATTCAGCATGGTAGCAATCAAGAAGTGAAGAAAAAAGTTTTGAATTCAGCAGTAGCCTGGTGCTGTAAAAGAATAATATTATCCAAGATTTCTGTATTGGATGTGGAGGCACAATGAGATTAGACGTTTATCTGTCCTGCGCTGAAACCCAAATACTCAGTGGAGCTGAGGACGCATTCGATTTTTTTTTTTTTTTTTTATTTTTTTTTTCTGTGCCTTAAAAACTCATCTTTACTTTGGCCAGAACCGTAGACTTTTGAAAATGTATCATTAATTCTAAGCTAAAGCTAGACGAACTTTTTCTAGTGGAATGTCTTACTGTGCACTTTGTGATAACGCATCTAATCTCCCTTGGGAAATGACCACTGACTTGGGCAGACTATTCTCTTTTCATTGATTGCTAACGTGCTCTTTAATCATCATTAAAGATTGCTGTCTCAGGAAATGGTAGATCCATAACCCGCTCGTCTTTCCACCTAATGCATGCCGGAGGTTTCGTCTGCAGGAACCTGACAACCGTCTTCTCAGATGAGGACTCAAATCCTGCCGCTGCCGCTGGGATGGGTTTGCCAACAGGACGCCGCACGGCAAAACCCCAGCGCTTCTCCCCACCCCGCTGTATCATTTACAGAGCATGCAAATGCTCGCAGCGCGGTGCAACACCTGCAGGATGCCCTTCACGCAAGCATTAGGAGGCACTGCTCAACAACTTTTCTGCGGCTGGAGCAGGTAAGCAGCCTTCTGCAGCTCGCTGGGGCACGCAGCCCATGCCGGCCGCCCGAGCGAAGGTAGCACCGCCACGGGGGTCGCCGGCCGGGGCGAGGCGGCGACGGGCGCGGGGAGCCCGGTCCTGCGCTGCCCTGCCCGTCCTGTCGGGGACCGACGGCTCGTCCCGGCCGGCACCGATTCCTCGAGGGCACCGGGCTTCTCCAGCAGCCGCGCCCCGATGCAAAGACGGGCAGCGGGGTAGTACGAGCCCCCCGCCCGCCCGGGCTGGCCCCGGGCGCCCCCCGCCCCGTCGGGGCGCCCGTGGGCGTCGGGCGAGTCCCCGCGGCGCCGCCCGCTGCCCTCCCGCGGTGAGAAGGGGCAGGCCAGGCTGGTTCCTGCCTCCAACTTCCCCCAAGTTTGCTCGGGTTTCCCCCCCTCCCAGCGGGATCCGCCTCGGCTCCGCGTCCTCCGGGAGGAGCGGGAGGGAGGAGAAAGGCGTGTCTTGCCGGGGCTGCCGCCGCCGCTGCTGCCGGAGGCAGATCGGGGATATAAAAGAGCTGGCCGGGCGCCGGCTGCGGCTCCACTCTGTGCCTGCGCTCACGCCGCGGCGAGAGGGGCACAGCGGGGCGCGCAGGGCGGCGGCGGGGAGGGGGAAGAGGAGGAGGTGGAAGAAGGCGGCAGGCAGCGCGGGGCTCGCTGTGGGCAACCCCAATGCGTGGACTATCCTCTGCTGCATTATGCTGGAGCTACAGTTCAGCTGAAGGGAGATTGCACACGGCCGGCTGGGCTGGACTGCAGCGCTGCCGTTCCTTATGAAGAAGGCACAAGTGAGTGCGGTCGGGGGGCGGCGGGGGGATGCCGCGGGAGATACCTGCCTGCCTGCCTGATGGCAGGGGCCCAAGGGCAGCTTCCCGGCCGAGAAGGGCTCCCCAGGAGCTGGCAGGGCCCCGGCGGCTGCTGGCTTGCACGTTGGGGTGGCGGGAGGTGGCTGCCGTCGGGTGCCCGGCCGCTGGCCCGCCAGGTGAGAGGCGCCGCGGGTGGGAACCGCCACCGCCCAGGAGCGGTTTGGAAGCTGGGGGGGGAAGAATTTTCAAAAGGAAAACAAAACAAAATTTACCGCCAGGTCTTGTTCTCGGCGCCCGCAGCCCATGGAAAAGTTCCAGCAAGCGGGCCGGATCGGCTGCCTAGCCGTAAGAAACCTCGGAAAGCACTTGGAAAAAAAATTGCCGTAATAAATCAGTTGCCTGTGTTAACACTGCTGAGCGTGGGCTACACGAACGGAGTGCAAAAACATGAAATTGAGGCAGCAGTGCTATGGCTGCTATTCTCAGTGGCTCCATTCAAGCCGCTTCGGCGTGCTGCACCGGGTCGGTGCTGTAGCTAGCCCCCTGGCATTCCTCTCTTCTACCCCCCTCACCCTGCTGTGAAGAATTGCTCTGTATCCTTGTGGGGGTTTGTGCCTATTTCTTCAAGTTCTGTACAGAATACAATTGCCACGCTGTGTGTATTTTCAGAGGAAAGCTAGGGGCAGGAAAAAGTAGAGAAAAGTGGAAAATTCATCTTGTAACAAGAAGCAGCTCAGGGAAGCTCTAAAGAGAAAAGTTTAAGGCTTGACTCTGTGAGGTGCCACTAACCTCCATCCTGGCTGACCTCCGTGAGAGTAAGGCTGCTCAGAGCCAAGGCTGAGCTCCCAGACAGAACTGTGTAGACACACGCACTGTGAATCCTGCGCTGGGGGCTTTCATCTTCCCCTTCATTTCTTCTCAAGAAGCAAGATACTTTTTGCCTTCCCCTGTCCCATGGCAGCTGCTGGGTCCCCCACACACTGGCAGCCTGAAGACATCACCATACAATAATTGGAAAAGATATAAAATTTAAGAAAATGGGAGGCACCTTACTAAAGTCTTTGAGGCAGTTAAATACTTTTTCAAGAGATGACAGGAATTAGAAACACTTGCTTTTTGAAACGTATAAACCTCAGCTGGCCAAAGCACTGCAGAATGCACCCATGCTTAAGGAGGTATTAATTGCTGACTGTTAACTTTTGTGATGCTGAATTGCAGCAAGGTATAGCCCTAAATGATCGGCTCTGAATTCTAGCAGTGTACATCCGTTGCTGCTGTTCCCTTTAGGTGACTAAAGATGCCTTGCACCTCCAAACTATTGTTTCAGACTTTATACACACACTTGGTCAAGTGTGCTGAATAGGTTATTAGTCAGGAAGGGTCTCATTAAGCTGTAAGAGCTATATTTGTGTGCTGAGTTTTATACATTCGCTTGATATTGGAGTGGAAGCAGTGAAGTCGTAAGATGTTATACTAGCCCACGGAAACATGCATGCTGGGCTGTTTCTTCAGAGAAGAAAAAACTGTTCAGTGAGCAAACGAAGATTTGCAAGTGCAAGCAGTCAAGCGTTTCATTTCCTATGAACTGTAAACTTCAAAAACCAACAGAGTACTTTTGCAAATTCAGAGCAAAGCAGGAATAATCCCTCTCTCCCACTAAACTGGGAAAGACATGCAGTCCTGGCGTTCAGTACCATATGGCTTGACTCAGGGGCTCAGGAGCTGTAGCCTGTGGAACAGCTTCTTGTCTTGGTGCTGAAGCATCTGTCAGCCTTCAAGCAGTTACACTTCCTACTTTTTGGAGACAGTGACAGACTCCTAGCTTTCCAAAGGATTGTTTCTTTCATTTTAAGGATCAGCAAACAAATGTGATACCAAACCATTAATCATTCCAGGGAGATCAGAGCAGGAGATACTTCAAGGAAGATTTTAAGCTGAAATCATGAAGACCCTTGTACAAAGAGAGAGCAAGTGATGTGGATACAAGAAGGAGGACTTTAGTATGCTGTGGCACTCGGCACATTAAAGTGAATCTTCATGCTCTCCTGTGGCTAGGTTTCCTATTATCTCAAACAATATCTGGCCTAGAGAAGAGATCAGGATTAGAAAGCTAGAAAATAAGATTTCTTGACATAGATTCTGCAGTAAACTTGCTACAGAAAGTGAGAACCTCTACCTCACTGTACCTGGAAACATTTAGTAATACCTGGGTAGTGCTTGAAATAAATCAGGGATTTTGATGTTTAAGGTAATATTTCACAGGGAAAACATATAAGTAGTGTAGCTGAAGGAGCAGCTGAGTCATACATTAGTTCAAATGAAGTGCTGAAAGAGAGGAGTGAGTGCTGAATGCTAGGCTAGAAGTGAACAGCTTGGTCAGTTTATTTACTTTAGTCTTAACCAGATAGACATGGGGAACTGTAGAAGCATGCTCCCCAAGAGTGTCAGTCCTAACAGGATCTTTTTCTGAAATTGTAGATAGTCTGATAATTATATAAACCCTTGTTTTAAATATACCAACCCCTCCTTGATATATACATGTATAGTGGTAATGCCTTTAGAAATACGATTAAACTTTTAGGGTCCAGTCATACAAGTCTTTTTTCAATGGGACTTTTCCCATGAATTAATCTTATTGAAGAATCACTTGTATGAGAGGATTTGCAGGGTTGCATACTTAGTGATTAAGACTATTATTGGAAGCGAGTTTATGTCATTTTGCATGCCAGTATTACAACACAAGAATACCACTGATGTCTGGACAGCTTTTTACATTTTGAAAATAGGATGACTGAAGCTAGTGATACAATCTTACAAAAACATGTAGCAGGTTTCTGATTTCCTTGTTCTTTGTTAGATTCAAAGACAATCTAAATAGGATTAAGTTACTGAGAAATATGCTGCAAGGAGAGATCATGCATGAGGCTAACTCAGAAGGTTTCTGATGTTATGGACTGTCCGGTATTTGGGTTGTGTACTCGATCTTCAGCTGTGGGTTAGATGCACAACTTCTTAGAAACCTCAGTGCTAGAAGGGTCTTAGATCTGAATTTGGCTTTTTACCTCTAAATGCACATATTATTGCTAGTAGTTAAATGATCTCCATAAGTTGTCCTGTCCAGAGTATGTTTGTGTTACTGTTATGGGAGCCTCTGTAGGCTTTATTATGAGAAAAAATTACCTGAAAAAAAAAAAAGTTAGTTTGCAAGTTGCCTGTTCCTGGCTTATATTGGTGGGCTAAAACAGAAATACAAAGGAGATATTTGATATATTTGTGTGAGCTTGCAGAGCCATTATTTGTAAGCTGTGATCTTCAATCTACTTTGCCCATTCTACAAGAAAATGAACATGAAGCACTAGAAGATACTTGGAGCTCGTGGTGAGCATAGACCTGCTGCTCATCAGATAAAGAGAACTGGTTATCAGATAGACAAAGAGAACTTGCTGGAACCTGGAGGATGTTGCGCTATTCACTTTGAGTAATGGGATAAGGTCTCTTTCCTCTTCTCCAGAGTTTTTATTCTGCTTATGGGAGGTCAGTTTGTGATAGTGGCAGTTGGGGAGGACATCTTGGACACTTTATTCTTCACAAATTGTCATATGGAGACTACACAGCAGATAACCTGGAAGACTTTAGGGTAGGGGAGTATTTGGTAAAGGTTTCTCCTTCTTCCCCCCTCACCCTCCCCCCCCCACATTATGTGTCTGTTAGTTTTAATCTCTGCGAACTACATTGCACTTGGCTATATTGTTTAGATTGAGTCTTCTGACCTAGTCTGCTTTCTGACCTTGTTCTGCCATTGTACAAAAGTGTAGTTTCTCCTTCTGTGCAAGACATTTCAGCTGTTCAGGTACAGCTCTGCAAGCTGACAGTGCCATTCTCCGAGTTTTGTTATGTGACTTAATGGTATGCTGGCTCATGTAATCGCCATATTGTTCGTGAGTTAAGAGTTGGCAAGACACAGCCCTTGGCTTAGGTTGGGCAATGCTCAGTATGCAGTATGTAAACACAACACCCATTTATTTGAAGCAAGGCAGGAAAAATCTCCCTACGCCATTCCATTTGAGTGGTGTGGGAGCTGACAGAGGAAAATGAAAGTGTTTGTTCTTTCCCTGATCTTCAGTATGCCAACCCTGAGGCTCATAAGCCTTTTAAACACACTGCAAATGCTTGTTTCTTTTTCCTGTGCACTTGTAGAAAAAGGAGATGGACCAATGTAAGGTGAGTCGAGAGGGATTAGTTTTCCTCATTATTTTAGTAGATTGGCTGTTGTTTGCATTGTGTGTTGAGTCCTGTGGAAATATGCAAAACCAACATTCAAAAGTATTATCGATACTGAAATAACTGACTGTTAGGAGGCTGTAAAATATAGATTTCTTTGCTGGATGTATTTAATTATTGGCAAAAGTATCAGGTATTTATATTAGTATGAGAATGAAAAATAAAAATACATTCCAAACAACAACAATAAAAAGTGTTAGGTATTTTATTTGATTAAAACTGGTAGCATGCATAATAACGGTGGTTAATGGAAGTAGATACACTAATGAAGACATTATTTCTACTGTAAGTCTAAATAAAAAACAGTTAAGGAGTTTAGATTAATGAACACTTTGGATCAAAATAACGCAGGAAATAAATTATCCCCTAATTTCCTATTGTTATCTAATAATCACTGAGTGAATGACTCGTTGCTTTTCCTGTTTAAACAGTGTTTAAATTACACAAGGTAGATGGGTGGGATAACCATTTTAAATCCAATTAGGAATTTTCTGCTTTATGCATGTTCTTGTGCTGTTGTTGCTATGTGGAGCAGATTTAAGTTTGGGTGCAAAGCAAAAATAGCATCAAATTTAAGAAGTCACTGCTGGTATCCCCTAAGGGAGGCACTTGTATTCACTGCTAGTGCTGTGCTTTGGAACATACTATTTTGCAAAGTCCTGAGCCTCCAGATCAACACTTCAAGACAAGGTGGTGCAGTC